CAAAACCCAAGACCAAACCCACTGCCATCAAGTCTATTCTGACTCATAGTGGTAATAATAAAACATTCATAGTGACCCAACAGGACAGAGTAGAACTGCCATATAGGGTTTCCAAAGCTGTAAATCTTTACAGAAGCAAACTGCCTCATCTTTCTCCCACAGAGCATCTGGTGAGTTTGAACCCCCAAATTTTGGTTAGCAGCCAAATGCTTTAACCACTGCACCATTGGAACTCCTTCCTGCATTGAAAGGTACTCAAAATACACAGTGGCTGCAACAATGAACTAGAGTATACCAATGGTCATGAAGATGGTGCAGGCCCAGGAAGTATTTCATTTCTGTTACACATGACGTCACCAGGAGTTGGAGCCCACTCTACAGCAGCTAACACCACCAACAAAAATACGTTATGCACATTCTTGTTTATAGAATATATTTAACAATTTAAAAATCAAGCAAAACTAACCAAGGCCACATCCTTGGGTGCTGGGTTAATGCAAAGATTTGAAGGCTCTCTCCCTCTTAGTGAGTCACTTAATCTCTTTAGACCTCAGTTTTCTCTTATGTAAAATGAGTACAACATTGTGAGGATAACGTGAGAGGAAGCATAGTGATGACAGCAAAACAGTTCTGTCATCACAGCAGCCCTCTGAGGCTACCAGCCAGTTACCTTAGGTCACACAGCCAGAGCGGCAGAACAGGTATTTGGAGGTTGTGTCTGTGCTCTGAAGTGCCACAGTATGTGCCCTGCTACAGACAGGAAGGTGGATCATACCTGCCCGCTCTGAGAATAGAGCAGAGAGAGCCAAGGCCACAGTCACCTCATACAAGGGAACTGCACCAAGGCCTGGCCTGAGATGGCTCCTCCCACCTCTTTCTGCACCAGGACCCTGGCAGACCAGGGTGCTGGCTGTGGGTGCCTCTCCCTTGGAAGCCCTGAGAATAAGTGGGAGAGCAGGTTGGATCAAACCCAGTGACAAAATCTGAGATCACTGGGCTGAAGATCAAACATTTTCCTGCAAAGCCCTGGAGGAAACTGGCCTGGAGCTGGAGGTTCTTTCTGCCCCTTCCCCAGCTCCACTACAGCCTCAGCTAGGGCAGGGGTGTCAGGACATGTGGCCATAGAGCAGGAGCAGTAGTCAGAATTGGGGGTCTCCCCAGACACCGATAGAACCAACTTCACAGTACAGATGGGGAAGCTGAGGCCCAGAGTGGGGAGGGGTCCAGTCCAGGCTACACGGCCAGTCTGTACTTGGAAGAAGAGCCAGGGTTCTCACAGCTCACGCTGCAGCCTGGCTCCCATAGTTGCTCAGAATATGCTTCTTGGGTTCAGCAAGCGAGTGGGGCACAGGTGTGGCTGAGAGTGGGGCGTGCGCGTGCGCGCGTTAGTGTGTGTGTGTGTGTGTGTGAGAGAGAGAGAGAGAGAGAGAGAGAGAGAGAAAGAGAGAACAGAGCCAAGAGTAGAGACCCACAAGGCGCCATGATGACGCTCACCCCACCCTATCCTGGCTGCTTCCGTCCTTCCGCCCTCCCCTCCTCTAGAGACCTCTCTTACCTCTGACCCAAATCACTCCCCCAGGCCTGGCTTTAGTCTCCATCTGTCGCCCTTCTCTGACCTCATCTTTTTCCACTCCCTTCCTTCTGTTCCAGCACAATAGCCCTTCATGCTTCTGCCACGGGGCCTTTGTACTGGCTATTCCCTCAGCCTGGCATGCTCTTCCTCCAGGTGTCCCGCAGCTCGGACATTCACCTTCTTCAGGACTTTACTCAAAGCTGCCTTCTCATCTCCCTTTCCTGCCTTACCCGCTAGGCATGTATCACTGACTCACTATATATTTTTAGGTGTACAACACATCAGTTCCATATGGACTTTTGTGGTCTTCATGACTGTATCCTTGGCACTAGATGAGTGTGTTGCATATTGTAGGCTCTTAACCAATGTCTGCCAAGAGGATGGAAGGGCAGGCTCTGTGCCCAGGATCAGGGTTCCTCTGAGTCCAGCCCTGGGTCAGAACCCTACAGGATGTTGTGGACTATGGGCTTCGTAAGGCCATGGCTTCACAGTGGCTAGCAGGGCAGAGGTTCTGGATGGAGCCACTGGCCACCCTGCCTCCAAGTCACCTCCGAGGGACATAGGATGCAGAGGCTGAAGTAGTCCATGAGGGACAGATGAAGGCGGGAACCAGAACCTGGGACCTGTCCAAGGCTCACCCACTTGAGGCTGGGAGTCACACTGCCCTGGAATGCCAGGGATGAGAAAGTCCACACTCACTATGTTAGTGAAGCCACTGAGGCTTAGAAAGGGTCACGCAGAGAGGCCACATACAGCTGGCTGGGTACTTGTAGCTGAAGACTCTTCTCTTGTCATTCCCAGCCTCCACTTCCCCTGGCTCCACCCATCCCCCCATGAGACTTCCTCAGGCCCCTCCCTTTCCTCTCTGGACCATATGATCTCAGCAGGCTTCCAACCTACCACCTTTCCCACCCCCATCCCTTCTCATGCTATAGCTATGTCTCTTTTTTTAAACATGATACATAAAAAGAACTACGCATCGCATTTATACGTTATAAAGTATAATCATCTTACAGACCCATAAACTCACTCCCAACCCCAGAACTATTCATAGCCTGCACCTAACCCCATGCTCTGCCTCATTCTGTGCCCCATCTCTATCTCCCTGGAGGAATCATCCCTTTTTTTTCAGTTTTATCACATACATGTATATGCCCAAATAATATATCACTTTTTGTTTTTCAACTGTAAAACCAGTGTTATAATGTATGCAGCCTTCTGGAACTTGCTTTCTATCTCTAAAATTTTTCTGTGTTTTGGCAGGTAGCTGTTGTGCCTCTATTGTCACTGTTGTATAATATTCCATTGCATGTGCCTGTGCTGCAGTGTAAGCACTGATCTCCCTGTGGGTGGACAGTTGGGTTGTTTCCAGTGCCTCCTGCCATCCCACCTGGCTCCCCTCCTCAGCCAAACCTTTTGAGATGACTTCTCCACCCCTCACTCACAGCCTCGGGGGCTATGTTCCCAGGCCCTGCTGCTGACCTATCGCTGTTGCACAGATCCAGCCACCATATAGTCACACGATCGCAACATCCAGATCTCTATCTTCCTGCCTCTCTTCTGCACTCCAGATCTTATGAATAATAATAAACTAGTGTTTATTGAGTGCCAGGCCTCATTTAATATTCAAAGCAACACAAGGGGGTAGGTAATATTCTTATTTCCACTTTGCAGATGAGGGAAACAAGGCCCAGATAAGTTAAGTAATTTGCCCAAGACCACACAGCAAATCAGTGGCAGAGGGAATTGAAACTGAGGCTGTGTCCCTGGAGTTCATGCTCTTTAATCACAATGCTCTAGCCATCCTGGCCCTCGTTGCCCATCAGACAGCCCCAGTCCAAGTCCCACAGACAATTCAAACTCAACATGTCCACAATGTCACTTTTCATCATCTTCCTCTGCAAACCAATTCCTCACTTATGCTCTGCTCTCAGGGGAACACCCTCACCGGAGACCCAAGCCAGAAACTGGAAGTCACCCCTGTTTCCTCCCTCTCCCACATCCAATCTGAAGTCCTGCCAGTTTGTCCCTTCTCCCTTCCACACCACCAGCACTAACCTGTTCAGTGCCCACTGCTCCTCCTGGGTGATTACTCCCACTACTTTCTCTGCAGGCCCCAGTCTCCCCCTTCTTAGCAGACTGTATGTGCCACTCACGGGGCTTTCTAAGTCTCTTCTCATTGTGTCCCCCACCTCCAGAAGGAAGTCCAGACTCTTCTACCCTCATCCTTTCCAACTGTAAAGTGCTGCTCCCAGCCCCAGGAAGGACACCCTTGCTTTCAACTGCTATCTCCTTCTCTAGGAAGCCATCACTGACCTCGGTCCCTAGGCTGGTCATTGAGCCCCCTCCAAGCTCCCTAGGCTCCATGCATCCCACTCACCATCATTTAGCTCCTTCCTCACAGTTATCTAACAATTCCCATTAGACTGGGCTCCACTGCTCAAGCCCCAGTGCCCAGGCAGCTGCATACAGTAGGTGCTCAATCATTATTGGAGGAATAAATACATGAGTGATGACAGGAAACACAGGTGATGCTCTTTCTGAATCCTGGAAAGAGCGATGGTCCCTGCCTGGCCCTGGGGGATTCTGATTACCCCCCTCCCACCCAACCGCTGCCCCTATCTCCCCTAGGGCCCCATGCAGCTTTGTCCTATCTCTGCACCTTTGGGAAGTATTTCCTTCTGCATTTTCTTCCTACTCCTACTCTAGAATTCCTCCAGAGAGCTCAGATACCAGGAAGAAAGAAGAGGAGCCCAACCCCCTCCTAATTTCTGTATCAGGAATTCTAAGGGGACAATATTGAACACAAGAGAGTGAAAATTGATTAAGTGGGGCAAATATGAAAAAAGTCTTACTCTTTTTAAGTATAAAGCATAGATATATATACAGAACCTCAGTAGATACACAGCAAATATATGGTATTAAAATACCATGGGATTAAGGGAAAAGCATCTAAAAAACTCCTGACAGGGTAGTAATGAAAACAAGACAGAGAAACTCTAGTCTACATTCTTGGCCTCACCACTCAGAGGATCGGCCACACTGAAGGAGGGAAGACCTGGGAGAGAGTCTAGAATCTTATCACTGGACAACTCAAGGTATCCTCAACCAGCCAGCTCTGGTCCTTCCCCCAAACACCCCTCTCCTTAATTCATGCCTGATAGTCAACCATTAAGTCTCAGGCAACCTTTCATCTCACCCTGTTCTTACTTAAGCCACAGGTCTGCTCTTCTCCATTCTGCCCTCAACAGGAGCCCCAAAAGGCTAAAAGTTGTTGGAGGCTTCTTAGCCACTAGGCTAAGACATAAGCCTGGAGTTTCTAGAAGAATCCAGGAGGGAAGTCAAACGACAGGAGGCACCCAGGAAGCAGGGGTGCCTCTGTGGATAAGGCTTTCTTTATTGAGCTGGTGGTACAGTCACAATATTCTTAGAAGTGCTCTACAGCAATGACTGAGTCACTTACGGGTGGGATAGGCCGGGTTGAGAATTTGCTTTTGTCAGAGATGTTAGAGGACACAGAAACAGGGGTGAGGGAAGAGGTTTTGGATAAGTGAGACTTCATCTTGGGCAACACGGATATCCTGTGTTCTTCATACATGTTGGTCTCCTTTGGAGTCTTTGGTTTCCACGGGGTGTAGGAGCCAAGGAAGAGCAGGTAGATGATACCACCTAGGTAGGCACCCAGGGGTGGTGCCACCACTGGCACCCACCACCAGTGCCCTCCAGCTCTGTGGGCAAGAGATGACACCCACATCCCTCAGACCAAGACAGGGCAAGCAGAAGAGTTAGCCCCATCCTGGGCCCAGAGTCTCCCCTGTGCCTGGGACCCTGGCCAGCCTCAGCCTGATTCAGGGACAGGGGTTGGTTTGGGGCAGGCTTGACTGAGCAAGATCCCCATCAGTGCCAGTCTAGGGGAAAGCGGGGACTCACTCTGCCTCCCCAGGTCACCAGGGAGCTCTGCCACTTCTCATTCATCCTTGACCCTCTACCTGCAATAAGCCTCCACAAGCAGGCAAGAATGGGGATGGGGCAGGGCAGTACCTGAAGACTTCGGGGCCCCAGCCGGCAATGAAGGTGAAAAAGCGGGGAGGAAAGTCCCGGGATGGGTTGATGGCATATCCTGTGTTCATGCCTAGGGATATCCCAATGGCGACAACCAGGATGCCAATCACTAGGGCCTGGGTCCCTTCCAGTGCTGCATTGTTCTGCTTGTCTGTGATGGCGAAGAGACACAGCTGGAGCAACCCCGTCAATAATACCTGAGGAGCAGACACCATGGCAGCCTCAGCAGTGCCCAAATCCAAGCCCATTGGCAGACATGTCCTGGTGCTTTCCAACCAAAGTTTTTGTCCTCTCCAGAGGAAGGGACTACTTGCTCCTGAGGGGTGGAGGGCTTGAGGAGGAGTACCCACCCTAGACCACTGACCTCATTCAGGAAACCCCACCACAACGTCATGTGGCTAGGAAGGTAGGTGGCAAAAATGCCAGCTGTGGCTGTGGGACCAGTCACTGTCAGATGTTCATTTGAGAAGTGGTTGATGGCCTCTGTGGAGAAACGGATTGAGATATAGAGCCATCAGGTAAACCTCATTTAAAAAATAAACAACAACAACAACAAAAAACACTGCTTCAAGTCGATTCCGACCCATAGGACCCTATAGGAGAACACAACTGCTCCATAGGGTTTCCAAGGCTATAAATCTTTACAGAAACAGATTGCCTCATTTTTCTCCCACTGAGTGGCTGGAGGGTTCAAACTGCTGATCTTTTGGTTGGCAGCTGAATGCTCTGACCGTTGTGCCAGTAGAGAGCCCCAGAAATAATGTTGCAGGGCAAGGATTGGAGGACACCTCAAAGGCTTTTTTCACCCAGACATTTTCACAGGCCAAGACACTGAGGTCCTATCTGCCAATACATTAGAGGAGGAGGCTGAAGCCAGAGGCAGACAGCCCCAGGCAGGACACTCACTGTAGAAGAGGCAGAAGATGGTGGCAGCGGCCAGGAAGGAGCCCAGGAACTGGCCCAGTACGTAGATAGGAAACTTCTTCCAGGACATCCGGCCTAGAGCGCAGTTGGCAAAGGTCACAGCTGAGTTCATGTGGGCCCCTGGGAAGAGGGGGCAAGTACGTTGGGGGAATGAGAGTACAAACAAATCAGCAACAGTCATGATAACAATGGCTACCATTTATCAAGTGTGTATCCTGTGACTGAGAAGCAGGTACCACCATCTCCATTTTGCAAATAGAAATGTAAGAAACAAAGAAGTTAAATACCTTGTGTAAGCTGACCCAGCTAATCAAAAAGTTGGGTGGAATTTTGATCAAAGATTCTATAGAAGAATACTGATCAAAAGGGGGAAAATGCAGAATAGAATTTCAAATTCTCATAGAATCCAGACTTCTGGAGTTATGAAGGCTGAATGAACCCCAAAAACTATTGTCCTGAGATAATCTTTAAACCTTAAATCAAAATATCACCGAAGTCTTCTTTAAAGGAAATAATAAACTAAACAAAACCCACTGCCACTGAATCAATTCCAACTCATAGTGGTGGTATAGGACAAAGTAGAACTGCCTAGGGTTTCCAAAGCTGTAAATTTTTACAGCAGACTGACACAGCTTTCTCCAAAGGAGTGACTGGTGGATTCAAACTGCCGACCTTTTGGTTAGCAGTGGAATACTTTAATCACTGTGCCAGCAGGGCTCCTTAAACTAAGTAATGTTGTTGTTGTTAAGTGCCATCGAGTCGGACCCGACTCATAGCAACCCTTTCTTGGGTTGCAGTATCACTATGGAAGTAGATTGCCCAACCTTCCTTCCGAGGAGTGGCTGGTGGATTTGAACTGCCAGTCTTCTGGTTAGCAATCAAGTAGTGCCTTAGGCACTATGCTACCAGAGCTCCTAAACTAAGTAATAGTTTAGCTTAATTAGTAAAGAATGGCTGCCTTGAGGATTATGTCCTTTTAAGAACTATCTATATGGATCAAATTGACAACAGCAACTCAAAATATTAGATAGATAAGTTAGGGACCAGTGAGTTTAACAGAAGAGAAATAGTTCAGAAAAGGGAGGTGAGAATGGTTGCACAACTTGACAAATGCAAATAATGTCACCGAATTGTATATGTAGAAATTGTTGAATTGGTGTGTGTTCTCCTGTGTATATTCTCAACAACGACAACAACAAATAAATAAAAATTTAAAATATGAGTTGAGGGGGCTCAGTGAAGGATTTGGGTCAGGGAAGTCAGAGGCAAGGGGTTCAACAGTGTTCTCCTCCCTCCGGGTGGCCAGTGAGGGTAAAGCACCCATTGAGTCATAGAAGGGGCTGGCTGCAGGTGAGCAGAGAAGAGCCTGGCCTTGCCCAGTCAGGTGGGGGCAGGACTAACTCACCAGAGATGCCCCCTGCCACGTGCACTCCCATGGTGACTCCGAAGCCAAACCCTAAGTTGACACCGAGGTAGCTCCCGAATGTATTCTCTCCTAGAACCATATGGGCCACGGAGCCAAGGCCAAACACCTGTGAGGGAGGATCTCTGAGAGGACTGCCTGCCCAGGAACCCCCACCTCAATGGAGGGCTCAGAGCTCAGTTATGGCTCCTTGCCCCCACACCCTGGACCTCCCAGCATCACCCCTGAAGACCCCCTACCATGCCCCCTTCCTCCACAGCCTTCCTTCCTCATGATCCCTTGTCCCTTGCCACGGTTGATGCCTCTCAGACCTACACCAGTCAGAGCTGGGTGGTGGAAGTAAAAGGAGACAGAGGTGGGGTGGTGTAGATCTTACAGACTGGACACTTCAACCCCAAGTCCACCTGAAGGCCAGGAGAGAAGGCAGAGCTGTGAGGGGGTATGGCTGATGTGGCATGCACCCCTCAGATCATCTCACACTTCCAACTAGCCTAAGGGAAGTTTCTTCAAGGGGTCTCCAAACATCAAGCCTAGACGCTGCTGGGAAATGAGTGGGCACATGCACACACACACACACATGCTTGTGTGTACACACATACACACACACCAGCCCGGAAAGTCTGTGGGATTCTATCTTGCCCTCAGGTCCATTCTCATTGCTCTCAGGCATCATCTCAGAACTTCTTGCTCTCTCCCACCCACAATTGCTTTATCTCCTCAGATGGCTGCCCTCACACACACACACCAGCTCTTTTCAGGGAGAATAGAGGCCTGAAGGTAGGTCCTCTCTCAACTTCTAGTTACCACTCAACAACACTCACCTGCATCTACTCCTACCTTCCCTTCAGCTCTGGTTCCTGTGCCCCAGCCCCTTCCTCTACAGAGACTTCTCTTCTCACCTGTATCTTCCACCCTCTCCCTTGACTGGGGTCTCTTTCTTCCTAAAAGTAAATCTTCCAGCCTCAGCCCTGGCTTCCTCTCCAGCTGTGGACTCCTGATGCCTCTCCCTGCCCATTTCAGTCACGCTCAAGAAAGAATCCACTGGTCCACTCCTTTATCTCTTCCCTTACACTATCTCCTCAATATGACTTCTGCCTCTAAACGTCACTGACTTTCTTGACTTTGCTGACTTTGACACTATTGACCATTCTGCTTCTAGAAAATTCCTCTTTCTTGGCCTCCATGACCCCTCTGCTGGTTTTTCTTCTTACCTCACTAGATTCTCTCTCTCTCTGTCTCTTTCCTTCTCCCATAATCTTTCCTTTATCTGCTTCATGTACATGGATGCTCCCAGGGCTCCATCCCTGGCCTCTTTCACATCTCACCTCAACCCCTTTTCCTGGGTCTTCTGACAAAGTTTGTGGCTTCAACTTTGCCCCATACATTAAAATTCCCAAAATCTCCACCTGAGATCTCTATTTCCAAATATGCACTGGAAGGCCCCCAGGTATTCTATAGGGTCTGAAAGTTGAACCTAGAGCCACATATCACCACTCAGAAAGAAACAGTGTTAAATGAGAGAAGAACAAAGTGAGAACGTGCCATGGACACCAGGGAAAAGCAGAGTTTTCCAAAGGCAGGTATCAGCCATTTTGTCATGGACAGTCTCTAGGTGAAGTACATTAAAAACTGGAAAGTATCCCTTTGGTCCAGTGGCATCTATGGTGAGCATTTTATCATCAGGCCATGGAGGCAGAAGCCAAGTCCAGGAGATTGATAGGTGGTGAGGAAGAGTTGAAGACAGTAGTGAGGGTCCCAGTGTAGACACTTCTTTGAGAACTTGCTAACTTGCTTGACAAGGGAAGGAGAGAAAGTGATATGTGAGGGGGTTCTTGGGGTGAAGGAAGGGATGTTTCACTTTGTGTTGTGCTGTTTTGGGTGAGAGATAATTCAGTATGTTTACAGGCTGGGAGAGAGAGAAGCTGATGATGAAGGAGAGGGGAAGTTGATTCACTGAGCAAACCTTTAGAAAGCAGGTGGAGTGGGGTCTGGCTCAGATGTAGAGGGGTCTTCTGTGGAGGAGGAACATCCACCCGGGCAAGGAGATGGGAACTCCCAGGAAGGTGTGTCTGCTGGTGAGAGGGACAAGAGGATAAGGAGCAGAATACAGAAAGCCTGCCTGATGATTCTCCCTGTCGAGTAAGAGACAAAGGATGATGTAAAGACAGGCAGAAGTACAGACAATGACATGAGACAAAGTGTATGTGAACTGCTGTATGGAAAGTGAATTTGCTCTGTAAATCTTCACCCAAATCAAAATTAAAAAAAAATAGATGTGTAGTATAAAACCAAAATCAAATTTGTTGCTATGGAGTTTATTCCAACTCATGGCGATCCCATGTGTATAAGTTAGAAACTTGCCACATTACATTTTCAGTGGCTGATTTTTCAGAAGACCACTAGGTCTTTCTTATAAGGTGTTTCTGGGTAGACTCACACTACCAACCTTTCTGTTAGAGCTGTGCACTTAACATTTGTGCCACTCTAGGACTCCAGGCATATGGTATATGGGCCTTCAATTGATCTATTGCCCAGAACCCCATAATGTAAGGTGCAGTCCTGCTTGCATATTGTAGGCAACCATCAAATATTGGCTGTATAATGAATGAATAAAGAAAGTTTAAACTATGGGCTTACTTCAAAGTTTAAATAGTGACAGCTTGAGAGAAGGTTCCACAGGCAGCAAAACTGAATCTCTCAATCCATATAGATACACACTCCCACACAATGAGCTTATGGCATGGTGAGGGAATCAATCTGCCCCAAGGATTGCATAGGACCAGGGGTGGCTATGATGAAAATATGTGAGAATTTTCACTATAGATTAGTAAGCAAAAAGAAAAAAAAAAAGAAGTACAGACAGAGGGGTCTTGGGGAAGTCTGAGAAAATGTGAAATAGCCCAGATGAGGTAGGGGAGAGGCAGTTGACCAGAGCCCACTGGTCCCTCAGGACCCCCAGGACAGGTGGGGGGAAACCTCAAGGTGGGCTGGCCTAGGATCCAGGTTGAGGATACTGGCAGGCTTTGGGCAGCAGTGGGGGAGGAGTAAGGAATGAGGCCAGGACAGGCTGACAGGCTGGAGAAGCCAGGAGGTGCAGGGACCAGAGCTGGCATGGAGGGTCTGAAGACCAATGGTTCCTCACTTCCAAGTAGGATCTCAAAATCCTTTGTTGAAACTAGTAAATGAATGAATGAATGGACCCTGCATGATCCCTGGGTCAGCATTGCCAACTGTCAACCATACAGTACACATGTTTTGTTTTGTATAACTTGGTTTTGAAGACGAGAAATTTCAGCTTCTCATGAAAAATAAGTTTGGGCAATGCTCGCTTGCATTCTGTCCTCCATGGCAACAGGGCAGCACTCTGCAATTAGCCACAGTCCCCACCACTCTGAGGTGCTCACGCCCGGCCCCTTAGCATGTGAGTTTGCAACCTCTGCCCTATGGCTCATGTCTGCAGATGGTTTTCCCAGGAAAACAGGCACCGCCCTGAGAGCTTTAGCCCTTCCCCTCCCTGGTCAGTGAATGTGGCCCAGCTCCTCGAAGTCCCTTCCATACCAGCAGGCCAGTCCCAAGGACAACAGCCCTAGAGGAATCTGTACAGAATGGAACAATCCACTTCCCTTATCCGGGCCTCAATAAATGGGGCCCAAGGTCACACTAGCCTTTCCAACCAAACATTCACCCTGATGACTCACCAAGCTTCCTAACAACTGAAAAGGCCCCCACTCCTTGGCACAGACCTGGCAGCTAAAAATAACAACACAATGTCCTATACAGGCTTAAACATCACAAAGGTCTTTTCACAGCAAATCTGAATAGCACATGTTTTTGCTCACTCTACAGATGGAAAAACTGAGGCCCAAGGAGGGGTCTTGAACTACTCAAAGCCTGAAATCAAGGGCCACGCCCCAGCTGGGGGAGATCTAATAAGACAGTGTGAGAAGGCCTATCATATCTAAACTAAGAGACAGAGCAAAGAGATGAAGGGTCAAGACTGAAATCAGACTAAACTGGATTTAAATTTTGACATAAAGTATAAACTTTGATGAGGGACTTAGTTTTGTGAGGCCTCAGTTTCTCCATCTATGAAATAGAGATGATAATAGTGACTGCCTCACAGGTTATTGTGAGGATTTGGGGAGATGCTACATGTAAAGTACTTAGCATCAGAGTGCCTGGTACGCAGTAGGTGCTCAAAAGTAATCCATAAAAGGAAGAGAAAGGCAGACATGAACACGCATCAGTGCATGTGGGCGGTGCCTGTTTTCCTAAGAGCTCTCTGAGAAGGCACCCTCCTACCTCTGCGGTTCCAAGGTTTAACAGCCCTCATGGGATGTTTTTGGAATGTCGTGTCATAAATGAATTACTTTGCCCTGTATTAAGGAGGAATAGGATCCAGCTGCTGCCCTGGATTGAAGCTCAGGGGCTAAGGCAGAAGAGCTAGAAATGGGGGAGGGAGAGAGAGGGGGATGCAGGGAGGAGAGCCAAGCTTAGAGCATTTGTCATAACAACAAGGGACCTACACATGTGTACTGGGTGCAGGGCACTTGACCTTCCTCACAGAGGTCTGACAACTCAATATTAGTGCACACGTTTACCAACAAGCAAGTTAACACTCTGAACAGTTCAGATCCTAGTGAAAGAACACATAGCTAGGAGACAGAAGAGTAGAGATTCAAACCCAGCTCCAGCGGATTCCAAAGCCCATGAAGTCTTGATTCAACACTCAATCATCAAGAAAACAGCTCTGAGCCAGGGAGAGACCTGCCAGGGCCAGCTGGTGATTCACTGGCAGGTGGGGATAAGAACCAGAGGCCCGCCCCTGGTCTGTTTGGGTCCCACTGTCTCCTGCACAGTGACTCTTTGAACACACACACATACATACTACCTCTCTCATCCCTACTTCCCCTGGCCTTCACAGAGGCTGCCTCTTCTTTCGTTGGGCCTAGCCCCTACATAAGTTTCAATGAGTATGGCTGCAGTGGTGCCCAGCTACCACTGTCAACCACAGGGAAAGGGATCAGTGCAGGAAGTCCTGGATAGAGTGGGAGAACAATGTGGAACAAAACTCAAATTTGTAAAATAAAAATTAAAAAAAAAAACAGGTTTACTGATCTGATACAACCTGGTGAGACCCCCTGAGACTATGGCCCCTGGTTACCCTTCAGGTCTGGAATTGAACTCATTCCTGTGACTTCCAGCCAAACAATGGACAGGCATATAGGATTAACATTTACATCAAGTAGATATCCTCCTTAGAATGATCAGTCATAAGAGAACAGAAGGGCAATATTTGCACAGGGAGATAGCACATGGGGCAGGAATACATAGGAAAAAAGGACACAGGGAAGAGGTAACTACAGGGAAGAAGTAACTACAGGGAAGAAGTGGGAAGAGAGATGTTACATTGTGGGAAGTTGCAGTCAATGTCATGAGAAAAAAATGTGTATAAACTGCTTTATGGAAAGTGAATTTTCTCTGTGAACTTTCACTGAATCACAATAAAATAATTTTTTTTTTTTTAAAGTATAGCTACAGATCCTATTGAGGGCAAAGGCTTAGTGGAATGTGCAGCAGGGCTAGAGTAGGTAGAGAGAAGGAGATTCCAAGAAACCTCACATCTCACTTATAGTCTGATTTCTGTCCCCATCATCCACTAAAAGAATCCTTACCAAAGTCACCAATGACCTACATGTTCTGAATTTGATGAACCTTGTCAGTGCTCATCTTATTTGGCCTCTTGGTAGCTTCCTAACTACAGACCACACTCTCCTTGTGGAAACATCCCTCCTCTGCGAGCTTTAGTCACCTTTGTGAGCTTCTCATACTTTGTCCTCTTCATACTCCTTTATGAGCTCCTCTTCATTCGTTAGAGTTCTGTTCCCCACAGTTTTGTCCTCAACCTCTTCCTGTACACACTGGACAATTTTTTACAACCAAAATCCACACTCACATGGTCTTCAACTTCTAGCCTAAACTATTCTTTTGAGCTCCAGACCTCTATATCTATCTTCTGGATTTCTCCACTGCACCTCACTTGATCACATCCTAACTGACCTCATCTCACCCTGTGCTGGACCTCATGCTCCAGAGAATGGCCTCATCAGCCCATACCTCATATGTATTCCTTGCAAAATCTCCCTGATTCCATCTTCTACCACTCTCAAACATGTGCTTTCTTCCCCGTGCCCTAAACCAGTCGCCACCTTCTCTCTAGCTTGGGTCATTATGGCAGTCTCTTAACTGGTCCACCAGCCATGTCCTTCTTAGGCTCCACACACTGCATCCAAAATTACCTTTTAAAATCCAAATATGATCATATCATTTCCCTGCTTGATAGCCTTTAATGTCTCCCCATTGTCCTCAGGATTAATTCTCAGAGCCCGGCATTCAAGGTTCTCTTTAACCTCTTTATCCTTGGTTTACCTTCTCTCCACTTCCAGCTATGCCCTCTGTCCTCCCTGTTCCAGCCTGTGGCTTCATTCTGCACCCACATATCATGAGCACTTTCTCTCAAAAAAGACTTGGTAAAAAAGGCCCCTCTCCTTACTTTCCTATGTTTCACCTTTCTTCCTCTCAGAGACAAGGGCATGGTCAATGTGACCCATGGTGGTCAGTGATTGGGGGGGTGAAAGGTTCATGAACTGCTTTACTGAGCCTCACCAGCCTAGGGTCCTAGGGTTCATGCCTCTACCTCAGAGCCCACTCCCTGTGCTGCTTGCCCACTTACCATCATGACATAAGTGCTCATCAACTCGCCCAGGAACTCCCTCAGCATCTTCCTCTGCATTTTTGCCTGTATCCTCGTTATCATGGATGATGGGACCATCCTGGAGTTGTAGACAGGCCTGAAGCAGCAACTTGAGCCCATTGGCAGAATGGGGCTCAAGTCTGCTTGCTGCCCATTGCCCTTTCAACTCATGGCTCAGTTAATGGGTAACCCAGAAGCCTTTCCACACACACCTCCTCTTGCCCAGGGCAGCTGGGACAGCAGGGACCAGATACCTGAAAGCCACAGGGACTGGGGCTAGAAGGCCAGGCTATGCCCCTCCTTCCTTCTGGGCTGGAATGGACCACTAGGAAGGGCACACCAACAAGACCATTTTGCACAGGGGGCAGGCAGTTGAGGGTTGATAAGTATAAGCTGTGATGCCAAGAAGACTTGGGGGCAGAAGCAGGCAGGGAAAGAGCAGGCAGGAAAGTGGAGCTCAATTGTCTCTCAGCCAGCCTATCTGTGGGACCCAGACCTTGGGGTCACAGGAAAGGCAGCAGTCAGCGCCTTGCAATAGGCAGGCACTCTGCAAATAGTATGGGGTATGGCCAAATCTGGTCTTGCTGCAGTGGGGGCTCTACAAATAACATTGAGGCAATCAGTGGCTAGTGCTATGAACACAAACAGATGCTTATGAATGAATGAGAGAGAGAGTGGGAAGAAGGAACCGGATCTGCCCTATTCATCTGTGTATCCTCGGTACCCAGCACAGTGCCAAGCACATAGTAGGTGTGCAATAAATATTTGTTGAATTAATGAAGACAGGGAGATTCTTCTTTCATCTTCTCCACTGAATCCCTAGACTTGCTACGATACCTGGCACAGGATAGATGCTTGATAAATATTTGTTTGATAAATGCATGGTTGGATGGATAGATTAACAGATGAAAAATAAGTTAGGGGAGGGTAGGGAACACTGTTAGATAGGCAGAGATAAGAATTGATTTGGGTGAAAAATAAGTTACAGACTTCATTGTCTGGAAAGTAGGTAGGATTGGGGATGGAGTCTGGGGAAGGACATGGGTCTGGAGGCTAAAGGAGAGGAGAAGTGGTGAAGATACCTTTAAGTGTGGCCTTAGTGCTTGTTCAGATGGGCAATGCCCCCCACATTGACTGAATGCCTGGAAACTGACAGCACCCTCCAGCTACCTCACCCCATTCCAAAAAAACTCACTCCTATTGAGTATATTCCAACTCATAATGAGTCCCATTGGGTTCCCAATGCTGTAGATCTTTACAGAAGCAGATCACCCCATTTTTACTCCATGGTGGGTATGAACCACCAGCCTTTTGGTTAGTAGCCAAATGCCTTAACCACTACACTGCAACAGTTCCTTGCAAGCTTTCTAAATTCCCTTGCCCTCACATAGCAAAAGCAAGCAGAAGGAGTGGGAGAAACCAACCTGACATGGAATAACACATACTTCACTTCCTCTAAAATCCTGTGTTCATATCTTATCCACCCCAGTCCTTGTTCTGGTCCTTACCCCAGGGAAGTAAATCCAGGCATAAGTATCTCAAGAAGGGTGTAGAGTTGCCTGAATAACCACCAGCCCAGGTCCAACTTCAGCTCCCATACAGCATCATGGGCTGCTTCCTTGACTTGTGACCAGCCTCCTCAGCCCTGAAGAGCAGCCTATGAGCAGCCTGATAAGAGACCCAAGAACAGACCCAGGGAGGTACCACAGAGGCAATGATGACCCCAGGTTCTAGCTAGAGCAGTGGAATGACCAACATGGGGCACAAGTGAGAAGTTGCACATTTGGACAGGAGGATGAGGAGCCCTTTTGGGGGTATATTGAGTTTGAGGAATCTGCTAGACACTTAGGTGGAGATGACTAGTAAAGAGGTACCTGGTCATGTGGTCTCGCTTAGAGATACACATTTGGAGGCCAGCAAATCACAGATGGTCAGTTGAGCCATGGGCATGGATGATAGGGTGTAGAATAAGAAGAAATGAGGGCATCCAAGAAAACCAGCCTACAAACCAAGACACTAACAGTCAATCAGATAATTACCTAAATAACCTGCTACTCAAGAAACTAAACAACCAAAAACTCACCAATCAACCCTTGAACTAACTAATCGACCAATCGAGTAATTTAATTAACCAACACACTGACTCATCTATTAACCAATTCATTTAATTCTCTAATCAACCAACAATCATAAATGAACCAACTAAGCTGATGTCACCTTGCTAATTTGCTAACCAACATTTACCTATTCAACAAACATTTGTTGAGCATCCACTCTTGAGTCAGGCATCAGACACCGAGCAAAAACCCAGCCTCCACCTTTGGGTTGCTCTATCTAGTGGGTCAGACAGGCAATGGCAACAACCCCAGAGAAGAGAAGCCAGGCTGTGAGGGCTCAGAGAAGAAGTGGGAGGTAATACCTGAAAAGGGTTGTAAAGAATGAGCAGACTTAAGCTAGTAAAAACAGCTGCTGCAATGAGCAGTTCCAATGAGAGTGCTATGGGGGAAAGCCAAGCAAGGAAAAGGGGAATTGGGAATACAGGGAGCAGGGGAGCGCAATTTTAAACACAGCAGTTAGGGAAGGCCTCATTGAGAAGGTCACATGAAGAAGGTGAGGAAGTGAGCCAGATGGATAAATGCGGCAAAATTGGGCAAAATTGTTTCCGGCAGAGGGAACAGCCACTGCAGGAGAATGTTTGAAGAAAGCAAAGGAAGTCAGTGTGGCTGGAGTGGGGAAGAGTAAGGGGCGGGGAGGGGAAATAAAGTCAGAGAGGTAATGAGGCTATACAGACAGAGCCTTGGCCATTGCAAGGACTTTGATTTTTGTTTCACCTCAAATACAGCTGAGCTTGAGAGAATGAGAGGTGGTGAGTTTATTTCAGTTAAATACCACAAATTCATGGACAATTGGAACACACGGACCAGCCCCTTGACCTTTTCACCCAGGACTTTCTGAGCCTTTCCTCATCTCAGGGCCCACCCTGTGTTTGGCTATGCTATGGGGGCATAGAAGACAAGAGGAGAAGTCCTTCTTCTGGGGCCCCTGGGCTGGGGGGCAGTGGTCTGGAAAGAGGGGAATGGGAGGTGCTTACCGCATCTGTTCATCTGCTTCAGCCATGTTATGTCTTTTAGATTTTTATATACTGTGGAGCCAAAGAGAGGTCACTAGGGCTGGAGTGCACAGAACTTGGCCACATATTCTCATCAGACCCCAACCCCCCTCCAGGGTAGAAACCACAAGGACAGCTTCTGCCAGTGCCACCCTCTCAACCAAGCCAAGTGAGTAGGGAAGGAGGGGGAGGAATGGGTGTGCCTCAGCCAATGGGAAGAAGCCCTGGAGTTCCACCTCTACCACTCAGGCTGGTCTACGGACCCCTGGCTCCTGACCAGGCCCCTTAGGGGTTCTCCTGACCTTTCCAAGTTTACAACCCAGCTTGGACAGTGGAAATGCCCACAGCCTTCTCTCAGTGGGTCCACCTTCTCATATTCAGATATTACTGCCTTTAGTCCAACCTCAAGCTCTCTTGCTGCTGACTTTCTAAGGGTTCTTCCTTGAGTGCATGTGCACGTATACAGGCGTGCACAGGCACAGGCACGGGCACAGACACAGCGAACACACACAGAGGTCCTGAAAACCTGTTTAGTCTGTACCTTCACCTCAGAGTTAAATCCACCCTCCCACCCTTCCTAAGAATCCCCCTTGTACTCTCATTTTCTTCTCAAATTGACAGCACAGAGGTAGTCCTCCTCCTTCGTCATCCTGTATGTCCTTTTTATTCTCTAGCACAGTTCCCTCTAGCTGCAGCACAAGTTCCCACCCCTAACCTTTTGAAGTCCCCTCCGATGCCCAACCCAGTATCTCAGGAGGGGACTTCAAAGGAGGAACACTAGCAAGCCAATAACTCACCCAGCTCTCTGACTGGCATCTCTTTTTGGTCCTCTCTTCATCCACCCCCATGCTCTGCTGACAGCGCAGCCAAATACATCCTCCCAGTCCACCTCTGGTCCTCACAATAGCCAATTTACAGGTGAGAAAGCTGAAGCCCAGAAAGAGGCTGTGACCAGCTGATGTCACAGAGCTACTCAGTACTGAACCTGAACAGAAATCCATGTCTCCATCTCCCAGCTGGGACTCCTTCCCCAGATAATCCCATGGTCACTTCCTCAGTGCAATGGTGCCTGCCCAGGGAGTAGCCTGCCCAGTAGAGGCTGCCCTGTTCCAGTCCAGCCTGGAGCCCCACTCACTGTGCTGAAGAGCCTTATGTTTCTTAGCTTCTGCTTTGAGGCATCTCAGTTAACGTTGTTCCTCTATGACTGTCCTGGGCTCAGGCTGTGCCCCCAGCTGTGTTCCCTCTGTCCCTGTGTTCCCAGCCTAGAGCCTGCCTCTCAAATCTTCCTGAGGGCCTGAGCACTGCTCCTGCTCCTCCAGGGGAGAGGTCAGTGGGGCAGGGGTTTGGCTGGTGCTGCTTGAACCAAGCCCAGTTACACTGCCCAAAATAGCATCCTTCCTCCCGCCAGCAGGCGCCTCAGAGATTGAGTTCTGAGGCAGCCTTTGTGAGGTCAGAGGTGGCACACCAGAAGGGTGTTCAGTGTCTCATGGTTCCAGAGGAAGGGCTGGTCCTCCAAGCCAAGTGTCCAGCCATCTGTGGAGTTTAAGCCTGAGGAAGCCTTTCCAGAATTCCAGACCTAGGGGAGGCTCCAGAGGTGCCTAAACCCCCAGCTGTGGTAAGAACTGTACAGAATGGGGATTGTAAGCTAGGTGGGACGGGCATGGAGGAGACCCTGAATCAGTCCTCAGAGTGCTGAGTCTCAGAGAGGATGAAACCTGGGCCTGGTCCTCAGGGAGTCCAACGTGAAGAGGGAGAGAGAAACCTTTGTCTTTGTGTGTGGGTGAGAGAGAGAGAGAGAGAGAGAGAGAGAGAGAGAAAGAGATCTGGGTGAAAGTTTACAGAGCAAATTCATTTTCCATATAGCAGTTCATACATATTTTGTTTCATGACATTGATTGCAATTCCCACAATGTAACATCTCTCTTCCCACTTCCTCCCTATAGTTTTCTCTTTCCTGTGTCCTTTTTTC